TAAATGTACTTGAAGCACCATATTGAGGCTGCTTATGCCCCTTAAAATAGGACAGGAGAAGAAAGTGAGGTAAAACCTTTCTGATTTCAGTTTGACTTTCAGTCACCACCTGACAGCAATTACTGATTGCTAAGAGCTGCTTTACTTTAGAAGGCATGCAGTTAAGAGGTTTTGAGATAATTGATATAAATATAGCAATTATGCTTCCATCTGATTGTGTGTACAATGGGCTACAGCAAATGACCAAATCAGAAATTCAGACTTTACTGTCAGGAAGGTTCATGTAGCCATGAAAAGACATTACCTGAGTTAGGATCTTGATTTCGTGGCAAGAGAAAAGAAAGTGTTTAACGACAGGAACCCTGTAACATTTTCCTGAAGAGGGGCGGGCAGGCAGGCAGGGAGAGGTAAGCTCACTGCAAACAGAGTGCCTTACATCTTCTTAAGCATGTCCAGGGTGTGTCTTTGCCTTTCAACAGCAAGTGACAAAATTACAAGTTGAGACTGCCAAGAAGAAATGGTCTTAGTGTGAGCCTCTAGTATGAGCTCCACCTGCAAGGCAAGTTATCCTAAGAGTCCTGCTAATGTGAAAACACCTGAAACGCTTTGGGATATGTTACATGTCTCATTTCTCTTCAAGGAAGGGACACCACCAGGTATGTCATTTTCCGATTATCTAGAAGTACCCAACGATTCTGATACATATCCAGTCGGAGTCAAACATGTTTACGTACAATCTATTTTATTTCTCCAATGTAAGTCTGTAACAGTTAGGGTTAAGAAGCAAAGCTTCAGGATTCCCAAATAAATCCTTGCCAAGAAGGAGGGATATGAAACACATTGCAAGATAGCCGCTTGGTAACTCTTTATGCTTTAGGGGCTTTATTCTCTTGTGAAACAAGACTGTCCATTACTTACTGTTTATCATCCTGACAAAATGCTAGGAATGGGGATGTGACGGCACTAACAATCCCACCCCCGGTGCTTTGTCCCCACTTCTCTATATTAAAACTGACAAGATTAACCCAAACGCAAACGGTGGAGCACAGTTCAAGGGGCTATTCATTCGGTGGTGAATGTGCATTTGTTTGCCTACAAAAAAAGAATAAGAATTTCACAAACAAACAATGAGAGACAGGCTGGTTTATGCCCCTGAAAAGAGGACTTAAAGAGGATCCATCAATTGTAGGCCATTTTATCAGTCTCTGACAGGTTAGTGTTTATTCAGGCTATCTGTGGCAGATTTCACGTGTAACAGGTTATCATTAGAGGTTTTTTTAGCAATTTGTTTGCTTTCCCTTGGTAAAACTATGTCTTGTTACGGAAAAGCATCCTAATGTTGATATGTAAAGGCTTAGCTGGCGGATCTTCTGCAGGTTAGGAAGGAAAGCTCAGTTTAGGCAATATTATTGATAAGTAAACTTTCATGTCCTCCTCACTGAAACCAACCTAATAAATTTTAGTTAGTGGTTTTTAGAAGGTAGGCAATTGTCACACTGTCTCCAGCAGAGAAGCAGCACGATACGGTAATAACTTTTCACTGACTGGAATAATGGCATAGAAATATCCACGGCTGATAACCGAAGTGCCACTGCAGTTACACAAGAGTTTACTTTACCATGTTCACCTTATATCTCGTTTCCAGAATGTTATTTCAGAACACAAAATTAAGATCCAAGTAAAATATTCCTTTCCACTTATTAATATGCTTGCAGCCTTATGCAAAGCATGTCATAGAACATATTCCTTACAGATTTTTATTTTTAAAGGAGTATTTTGATCAAGAAGCTACTAATTTAGAGCTCAAGACAATTGATTCCGATCACTAAAGGCAGTCTGAGAACAACTGTAGTTTAACAGATTAGGCCACAAAAAAAAATGAGCCACTGTCTTCTACAGTATCATCACATATTCACTAAAATTCTTATTTAATTGCTTTTCAGCACAATAGATTTATGAATGTTCAATGGAAATAATTTATTCATCTTCCATAAGTGAATTAAATGCTTAATGTCAATTATGGCAGTTATCTCTACAAAGGATGGAGCAGATTTACAGCACAACCCTCCACATGTTTACTCATGAGGAAGCCTCACTGTATGCCACAGTACTTAGTCCCTAGAAACTGACTTCCACATTCTACTTGACAGGGGATCTCTGCAAAAAGACAGCCTTTTGTTTATGAATGACTCATTCATTATTCTTAAGGAAAACACAGAGATGTATTCTGAAATAAGTTACGGTAGACTGAAGGTTATCAGGTACATACTACGCACCCACACAAACTCAGGAATGTCTTTATAAATCTGTCCAAACGCCACTTCTAGCATGCCTTCTGCAGTGAGGTGAACAAGCCGAACAGATGAATCCAAGTACATTTAAATGACATCAGCAGATACCTCTTATCTGCAAGGAATACATTTAAGGTAGGGAAAAAGCAGGGGCTATTCATTCAAGTCATAGTTAGCAGTGCTGTTGATAAGATGGGGGGGGGGAGATGGATTCATGCAACAGAGGGAAGTAGTAAAACAGAACCGCTACTTTGGGGACAAGGCCATACGCCATTAATGGTGACTGAAGCAAGCCTTTTGAGAGAAAATGCAAGTGTTTTGGCTAACATTGGGAGGAGGCGGGAGAGAGAGAAGACAGGTTAGGCCTGGAAGCCACTGGAAGAAGAATGACCACTGCACAGAGTGCCATTATGTATTGGAAGAGTGACCTCTGTAGGAATAAAGCAATCACTAGACTGCAGCAGCAGGCGGGAGAACACCAGTCGCCTCGGAGGCTCAACTTTACACTATCGCCCATTCAAGTATGTGCAACTTGCCACTCCAGCACAACAGAGAAATTACACCATTCCTTTTAAGTAAATATTGTCCTGTTTGTTTAAACATATTTCACACCCGCCCTTTTCTAGGTTTGAAGGAGAGCTACACTAAGCCTGGATCCATGGTGCTAACTGGAAGCAAGGGTTGTTTTCTACACACAGGGTGGCAATTTCTTTGTATGTCTTTCTAGGGAGGGGAAGAAAGCACTGCTGAGTTGAGCAGGAGGGCTCAGGATGACCTAGGTTTCTGTATTTTAATGAAAACAGCCTATTTGCATTTTTTCATATTAAAAGGAAAAAAAAAACTCATCAAAGGCCACTGCCCTGGCTGTAAATCTTCCTTTGCTCAGAAAGGGGAAAGGGGGAAATCTATAATGGAATGGAAGAAAAAACAATGGAGTCAGAATGTGATTTATTAAATAAACTCCTGTAGTTTTTAGATCTAATTCCAAACTTGCATCATATCAGCTAGATCCCAGGGACCTGCAAGCAATAAACGCTACCCAACCAGAGAGCTATTTCACACTGATGAGACAGGCCATTTTCCCAATGTGTTGTTCTTTTAAAAGGTATTTTAACAGCCATTTAACTGTGTTTTATAGAAAAGCTTGTACTCTGTTCACATCCAGCAGGCTCACTCAGAATTTACAGGCAAGTTGATCTCCTTGTTTCCCAAAAAGTATTTCCAAAGAAATCATTAAACAAGGCACTGGTATTATAGCTCCTTAAACATTATTCTCTGCTGCTAGCTGAAAGAATTTCATTTACGCTCCTCTGAAAAGTACACAAAGAAATCCAACTCAAACAATGTTTTGTTAGATTTCAAAGTTTAGCAGAGCCTATTTTAGCAGTGGTAAAACACTTTCCAAAGAGAAAGAGGAATATCCCACTGCCGCTTGTCATGTCTCTCCTTTAACTGAAATATATGTTAAGTTTATCATTAGCCACCCCCTGCATAAGACCCTCCATATGCAGTGCCACCATCACCTTGCCCCTCAGCCGTCCCGCTAATCCACATAGTACTAGTGGATCACATCTTTGCTTGGTCTCTTTAACCCGGTGGTTTTATGAGGAAGGGAAATTTCTTCCTTGGCTGCACAACCCAACAGAGGACACTATCTTAAATTAAGACAGAAATTCCTACTGCCAACTCCCACCTTCGAGTTCCCTGCATCATCATTTCCCAGAGAGACTCCCTCTCAGTTCAGGTCAGCATTTGTAGGCCTTTACCCTCCCACAACGTTCTCCAGGAGTTTCTGAGGGTCGGTCGGGGTCTCTCTCAGACAGACAGACAGACATGGCAGTGGTCTTTCATGACTCATCAGCCTGGTTTCTGCCAGCCAATGTAGAGGCTGCGACTTCACTAGACCTAATGCCAAGGTAGGTACGAGTTTCAAGAGCAGGAGGGAGAGGGCAGCCGATTCCCCTGCTTTCTCACGCACACGCCTCACTCAGCACCAGCACAGCCCTGCCCTCGGCCTGACCAGGGGGGCCTGCCTACGCCCGATGCGTTGCCACAAGCCGCCGAAACTTCCGCGAGGTTCCTCCAGCCCGCGAACCGTTCCCCATGGTTCGCTTTGCCGTCGAGTGCTTCTCCTCCTCCTCCCTCGCCCCATGCAGCCTACCTGTGCTCCGCCACCTGGTCCCCGAGGGATACGTGTGCAAGGGCCTTCCCGCGGGCCCTTCGCGTTGCACGGAAAAGCAAGCGGCTGGAGGATCCTCGAGAGAAGGATCCAGCTGGCGGGCAAACGCTGATCTACCTCTACGGGGAGATCAATGGAATTGCCTTTGCATCGATGCGCCCAGGAGCAGTGGGGCGCACGCATGTACGAAGAGTTTCTCTGCACACACGGCCACCTGGAACACTCATCTCCGTGTAGCGAGGGCCCAGCGACTCGGACTCCTCGGAAGCGGCGGGGTCGGGTCACACGGGGAGAGGGGGCAAAGCCGAGGCCCTCCCGCTCCCTTCCGAGGGTCGAGCCGCTCCCCGGGGCCGAAGCGCTTTCGCCACCCGCTCGCCGACCCCTCCGCGCGCTCCCACCGGAAGGCGCGCCGCGAGCGAGGGATCCCGCGGCCTGGCTGGGGGGCTCGGCCGCGCGAGCGATGCGCCGGCGCCCACCTGCCCGCCTCGCACCCGCCGGGCGGAGGAGATCCCGGCCCCCCGGGCACTTACTTGGAGTTGGAGGAGTTCCAGTAGATGGGCTCCAGCACCAGCGAGCTGGCCAGCGCCGTCCGGCACAAAAGCACCCAGATTCCCCAGCAGCACCTCCCGATCGGGGATCCCCCCCGGCGCGCTACCATGGTCGGGGGCGCCGCCGGCGGGTCCTGCCCCAAAGGCTCGCCAACTCCGCGGCGCCCGGACGAAGAAAGACGGCGTCCACAATCCTCCCTCCAACAAGGAGCCACAGCGAAGGCAGATCCCGGGCAGCCAGCGAGCTTGCCCTGGCGGCTCAGCGGGTCCTGCAGGGCACGGCTGCCGACATGGAGCCGCGATCCCGAAGTGGGCGCAGGCGCGAGAAGAAGGAGAGGCGCCCGCCACCGGCGCCCGCCCAGCGGCGAAGGAGAAGGAGAAAAAAGGAAAGCCGCCGGTCGCTCAGTCCGCTGCCGCTCCGCTCCGCCCCAGCTGCCACCTCGCCCCCGTGGGCGCCCGCGACGGGGAACGGACCGCAGGCCAGAAAAAAGGAAAGCGAGGATCCGCCAATCCCCGGCGGCGGCGGCGGCGCTTCCTTCGACCGCTCTATAAATCCACCTGGAGAAGGAGACGCAGCAGCAGCAGCAACAGCAGCAGGTCCCGCCCGGCGGAGCACCCGCGGGGCTCCATCGCCCTCCTGGCCCGGGCAGCCTCCCGAAGAAAAAGCGGGCTCCTCCAGGCGCCCGAGCCCGCAGCACCCGTCTCGGCGGGGCGAGCCCGGCGGCGAAGGCAGAGATGAGGCTCCGGCGGGCGGGCAGCCCGCGCCCGCGCCGAGGAGAACGGAGGAAGGCAGGGGAGAGCGCGCGGAGGAGGGCGGCCGGCGGGCGCTCGCACGCAGCCTCCCGGCGCCGCAGCCCGCGCCTCGTCCCCGCCGGCGCGCCCCGCTTCCCGGCTCAGCGCTGGCTCCTGCGCGGCTCGCCGGGCTCCTGCCGCGGACGCCTCCCTGGCTGCAAAGGCGAGCGCGAGCGAGGCTCCGAGTCCCCACTCGCGCGCCCTGCCTCCTGCCTATAAACCCGGCCGCCCCCCTTCTCCGGCAACTCTTGCGCTGGTTGGGTGGCGTCGCTGTCACTTACGCGTACCTCGCTCCGAGACACATGCCCCATATTCCGAAAGGGGCGGGCCTTGCCGGGGAAGGGAGGGCGAGCGACAGGTAACGCGCCTATCCAGTTGCTCAAGCCGCTCCGAGAAGGAGCGTGGCAGCCCGCGGGGGAGAGCCCTGCTGCCCGTCCGAGCAGATCGTGGTGCCCCTCTGAGCATGCAAATGCGCGGTGCGGGAAGGTGCACGGCTGCAGGGCCGCCCTTGGGTGGGGGCTGGGCCGCAGGCGGTGTCGTGCTCGCAGCGGAGGAAAAGTTCCTTGAAGTCCCCCGCTCGCCGACCCGGTGCGGGAAGAGGCTCCCCGGGCTGCAGCGGGTGCTCCTCCCCTCTGAATCCCGCGGCAAAAATTTCGCCCTCCCGTCCAGCCCCCGTTCCACGTAGGACGCCTCCGTTGGAGTGCGATCCCAATCCTTAGGCGTCTCTCACTGCACTCCCGTGCCCATGACCTCACTAAACTCACTGGGACTTGCTTCCGAGCATCCAGGAATGGGGCTGTATTGATAACTCTGCTGATTTCACTTGGGAGGGGCGGGAGGACCGGGCTGCAGCGAAAGGCGCCGTGCGGCCCTGCTTGGCGCACCTGGAAAAGTTCCTCTTCCTTGCCCCCTGCCAGTTGGGGCGGGGACCCAGGGGCAGAATTGGGGTCAAAATTCTCCCAAGGATCCTCGGTCGCGGAGGGGGGGTGCGAGCGATGGCGCTCCGACGGCCAGCCGCCTCTAGCGGCCTCTTTTCCATCGGCGGCGCGGTTTGCCTGACCGTGGAGGGGAGAGGGGTCTACTCAGCGGAGCCGAGCTCTGAGGCGGAAGCATTGGTTCCGAAGGGAGAGCTGCCCGGAGCAGGGCCCTGAGAACCGGCAGTGCAGCAAGTCCCCCCGCCCGGAACGAATCGCCGGGTCTGCCGGGCTCGCACAGCACTGGTGCGCACAATTCCATAGAACCACAGCGCCCACTAGTGGTCGTCGCGAGAACCGCAGCCAATTGCAACTTGCGATCCCCTCGCAGCTTTACCCTCGCTGAGTTCGCTGTCTGGCTTCTTCTTCTTTTTCAATTAACGGGGCTTCCGGAGAAGTTGAAGTTGGTTTGGGATTACAAAGAAATCCTGGTTGAGATCTCTTCTACCTAATCGGTCGCTAGCCAAAACAAAGGAACGCCAACATAAAAGTCCGCGAGAACTGGTTGAAGCCCATCTGTTACGAATTATAAATTATTTTAATTTAAGGGTTTGTGGAGCGGAGGGGTAGAAACTCAGAATTATCTGAAACGATGTGAATTTGCAATGGATAGAACAATCAAATAATTGTGCTGTATTTAAGGATATGCAATATCTAATTTGGAACGGGTCGGCTATTATTAGATTGATTTTTTAACATTTAAAAATAGATACAATCATGCCTCAAACTGTTCTTTGCAGATTTAGGAGTTTAAAACTTTCTCCAAATGTTGTTTCGAACTTCAGAAACAATAGAAATGACAAAAGAAAGGTTAAAACCATGCTCAGTTTTGTTCTCTTTCTTCTCTCATTAAAACTCAACCTTTTCCTAGCATTTGAATTGAAATAGCCTGAAGAAGTCATTATAACTGTGGGTATTAATATTTTCAAAGGCACAAACCAAGAATTGCCTTTTAATATCACGCACTAGAGAAAATAGTAGGCCAGTTTGTTGGATGGGGTGGAGGCTTTTGAAAGAAAGAAAGAAAGAAAGAAAGAAAGAAAGAAAGAAAGAAAGAAAGAAAGATTCCTTTCGAGGCAAACTGTTTCTGGCCCTGTTTGGGCAAATTAACCAGAAGCGAAGGGTTGGACAAGCTGCCCCCCCCCCCCCACTCCGCTCCCGGGCTTTGCTAATTCCCTTTGGAGACCCTTTGCTCCGAATCCTCATCCAGGGTCTCCACACCCATCCGGCTCCGTTTGTTTCTCGCGCAAAACTGCTAACGGGCACTAAATAAACTTTTAATACGGTGCGGTTTGGAAAAGACGCGGCGCCTTCGCGGAAAGCGCAGGAGATTCGCTCGCCCTGCGCGCACCTAGAAACAGTGGCTGGGGCCAGGCTTGGAGGAAAGAGGACAAGCGGCGAGGCTGCCACAACTGTTGCGCCACGCCGAAGGGTTCCAGTGCGCAAACTTTTCCTTCCCGGTTACCGTTTCCTAAAAGTCCCCGAGATCAGGTAAGCTTACCTAGCCCTGCTTTTTTAGAAGCGCGGTGGCTTTGCTGCCCTGGGGTTGTATCCTAGGTTAATCGGCCTATCCATTTCAATAGGTCTACTCTACGAAGAAGATAGTCGCCGGATGCAAACTATCTGCATGGGCTGCCCTTGCTAAAGGGAGGGTAGTTTCCGCTACCTGCTCTTCTGCGGTGGTGCTGATTGTCCGGTGGAAACGAAAACAGGCTGAGAAAACCAGGATAGCCAGAGCAAGCGCCAGCGTTTCCGAAATTAGTGCCAGCCTGGAGGCTTTGAAGGGCTTCCCCTGCCCCGCGGCTCTCCCCTCCTCCGGAATCGGGGTCAAAGAAGGGGATCTCCCTTCGGATTAAAGCACATCTGGAAAGCCTAAAATAGCCCCCGGGAGGCTAAATATACAGCACGGAACAAATGGGGCTTGGCTGGAGATAAGGGCAACTGTAAATAGCCACGCTTGGGGCTAGGAGCCTTTTCTAAAACAGAAGTAAAAAGAAGCCGGCGAAGATTTCTGATTGGGTAAGCTATTCCATTTTCATTTTCAAAGCCAGCGGCTTTCTACGAGACTTTTTTCAGGGAAAGTTGCAAATACTTTTAAAGATCTTGAAAAGCGCCTCGGAACACGTTTAGATGGAGGCTGGGTGGGTACCTTTGCCCTTTTCTCCCTCTGCCACTTCCCCACCCCCGACCGAGCATCAAGAACTTGCATATCTGCAGGACAGGCAGAAAATCGCCCGGTGGACCTTTTCCAGGCATTGCTGTGCGAGTGATGGAAAGAAACGCTGCTCCTGGTGAATTCGTGGCTGTCGGGGAGCTGCCGCGACAAGCACGGCAGCCCCGCCGGGGCGGGCGTGAGAGACGGCCACCCCGCGATCTACTCCAGCCCCATACGCTTGTGGGGTTTACTCCCGAGTAACCACGCAGAGAGGATCGGGACCGCACAGCCCCACGGATCGTATGATCACTGCCTCTTTCAGCGACCCGGTCGAGTCCTCCACTTCCACTGGAATGGACGCAAGAGCGACTGGCCAAGGAGGAGGCCAGTTGGCTCGGGATCTCAAAACACATTTCGATGGAAACGGCTTTCGCCTTAGCAATCACATCAAAAGTTTGGCGGGAGGAGAAGCGTGCTCAGGATCGTTGACACTGCTCGTTTCCTGAGGCTATTGAATTAATTTCAGAGAGTTAATGTTTCTTTGCCCCCCCCCCCCCCACGCCCTAAGTCTGGACTAACCTGAGTGCAGCCAGAACTAGAGCCACTTGGTTTTCCCAGGTGACCAAAATTGCTCCAGTGCTTCCTTCCCCACCCATCCCCACAGGGGTCAGATACCTGCCAAGGGTTCCTAACAAGAAGAACTGGAAAGTTAGAGTGCCAATGACATGGCTGCTCTTGTCCTTATTCAAAGGAGCCTTCTGTGCCCTGGGAGAAGAAACGGTTCTTCCTCGCACAAGTACTTGGAATGCCCACTAATAGGCCACACTCCCAAGGAAGTGGCAGCTGGGTGTTAAACGGGTATCTGATCAGCAGCGTAAGGAAACCCAGTTGAGCTTTCCGTTGTTTCTGGAAAACCAAGCTAGGGGCCTATACATAGCGAGGGAATTGGGTGCACAAACTTAAGCTGCAAGGACCGAAAAACAGAATCAGACTTATCAGATCCGAGGGAGTGCTCAACTTGGTGGAAACATGACCTTTTTAATTTTGCTAAAATCTAGATGAAAACCCCAAGGAAGCGACTCCCTGATGCATTTGCATGCTTGCTTTCTCAGATGTAAATCCATCTAAAACGAGACTTTCTGCTATGCGAGTGTCCGCTCTTGCATTGCAGCCCTCAGTTTTGTTCATACTGTTTTAAAATAAAACAAGGGGCAATTATTATAACCTAAAACAAATGAACAGAAATCACAAGGGCGTTTCTGAGGCCATCCTTTTGTCCAGAGCAATTTATTGTATAACTGGTATCTGAGACACCTGCATGACCCTAACCCAACCCCACTTAGAAGCAGAACCTGCCAGCCTTTAAAGCCACAGCTACCATCTTCTCAGCAGCCTTTACTTGGAAGTAATATCCACTTGCACTGCACGTTCTTATGCATGCAGGCATCAAACCCACCGTGTTTAATGAGATGTACTCCCATTTTATAGGAAGTTATTAATTACATTTCTATACCACCCTCAGCTGAAGCTCTCTTCCTTTGATGAAATCATTAGAATTTTATTCTAACCAGTCACCATTAGGACTGACTTTCTGGGTGCCATCACTCACTGCCTCAAAGTATGAGAGCCAGTATGCCTCTGCCAGTAAGAGGGTATCCTTGACATTAAGAGATGCAGTTACGGTACATATTGGGAGCTTTCAGTGGCTGGGATTGATCCTCTGAGAGTAGGGTGAGTGTTTGAAGAATCTCATTCCTTCAGCTTAAACAGAATATACTTCAAAGCACCCAGAGCAACCCTTTCTGCAGATCCAGCCCACAGGCTTTTGCTTAGGCCAAGTCCAAAAACTGTATCTAAAAGGAAGGATATCACTTCTGTGGAGAATCCAACACAGGAAATTGAATCAAAATAAATTAGCTCTAAGGAAAGTACCTTTAAAAAATTACCCAGCCCTTCTTTCTCAGAAACTACCCCAAGCCACAACTTCCTTTTTTAACTGTACTTCTTTGGGCTGCCTTGGTGGGACCAAGGCCAGTCTTTGAATGGATCACAGTAATACATCAGAAGGCAGCAACTGTTTCCTTGTAGTTACAGGAATCAAGCATCAAGTCCATGTTCTTGGATACATTTCTGAGAAAGAAAAACAGGCAATTGACAGCATGATGTTTCACTCCAAGCAAGGACAGGTAACAGGAGAGCAAGAAGTAGACCTAATAAATAGGGGATTTCTTTCCTACCTTTTAGGAAGAATAGGTCAGCCATCAGTATGACTCTTTAAAAATACAGTACAGTATACTAGAAAACAGAACTTTTATATATCACACTGCATTTGAAAAAGATTAGAGGATCCTCACATACCTAAAGGCACTTTGCAAGTTCAGACAGGAAGAAACCTACAACTTCCAGCATTCCCCAGCCAGCCATCCTGGAAGTTGCAAGCCTTTCATTTGTCTAAACTTGCATAGGATTGCACCTTAAGTTTTAAAACTATAGTTTGCTTCTACAAACAGCAGCCTAGGATTATTTTTTTTTTACAAATTAAACACTACTCTTCTAGGTAGTGAGTCATCTCTAGAACAAGGTGGGATGTTTCTGTGTTTGTAGCTAAGAATGCTAATCCGCAGTGCAACCATTTTGTTGAACAAAATGAGTCCCTACAGGCCCACACTATCAGCACCCTTTTGCTAACTGCAGGTGTTCATAGAATATCAAGGTATTCTCTAGATATATCTCCATCCACTTGAACATGTGGAAGTATTTTCATATACTGTCCCAAGAAACTACAGGAAATGTTTGGCCTGCAATAAAACTGGGATTATTTTGTGTTCAAGCATTTTAAGGATACCTATTAACTCAATAGCTTGTTTCAGCAAGCTTGTACACTCTCAAGCAGAGCTGCGAAGTACTAATCAAGAAATAAGGCCTTGTTTCTATCACTAGCAGAAGCTGCTGTAAAATAATTTCACTCAGTAGTGTTAAGTATTTTGCACGCCATGAGTAATTGGCTAACCAAATGCCCAGTTTGTTTCACAAGTTGGAATGTAGTGAAGGATTTTTGGTATCCCCTTTCACGGACAGAAGGGCTTCTTCAGTCCATGGAAGGTTTTGATTCAATGGATCATATCAACTGGTGGAATGACAAAAGTGTTTTTGTGCAAACTGTTTATACTCCTCCCGCTACACACACACAAATTGGAGGGTTCTTAAAATAGCATCAGAAGTGGCACTAGGAGCTCCAAGGGAAGATAATGAGAAGAATTGCTTCTCTTGCTTCAAGCAAGAGAAATCCACTCAGGAAGTACTTGCTCTGGCAGAACCACCCCAGATTCAGCTGCAAAATGAAACAAGGCTTTGTGTCCATCCTTGCAAAGAAGCAGATCCTCAAAATTCTTTTAAAGGTAAGTGCTGCTTTTTAACCTTTGAAGAATGAAACAGCAACAGTACTTGGATAAGGGACCACCTGATCAGAGGAAGATCAGCAGGAGACCCCTTTGAGGGCACCATTTCTCGTAGAAGCTTGTTTGCAAGTTACGTATTGCCTCCAAAGCAGGCGCTCCCTCAAGAATTATTAGACTCCACACACTTGTTCTTTAGAAACTGTGTGAAAATACAGCATCAATTTAGCCTTTTATAATTTGCTGTTTTAATGTTTCAACAGTTTGTAATGTTTTGGTTGTGTTAAATTGTATACTTCCTTGATAGCTTTTTAGCAGATCTGGCAGTATACAATTGTTAATAAATACAAACTACTGAGGATTAAAATAGGCTACAGTTTGCTAGCTATTAGGAAAAATGCAAGTGGAAGTAAGAACAGAACAATGCTTACAGCAGTAATCATTTATTACAGACATTCTCAAATATTTTGACTATTCAACTCTATTTCATCATCTTTTCATCCTGGACTCTGAGCAAACAAAACAGGAGGCTGCTTTAGATCAGGGCCACATTCTGAAAACCTGACAGCAAAGATGTTACATACTTGCAAAATGAAAAGGGCACCATCACTTTTTGATCCATTTTGAGTCAAATACTAACATTAGGAATGCTGCAGTTCCAGCAAAAACAGTACATGACAACTGAAAAATAAAGATCCATACAAATTTCATGTTAGATGGATTAATTTTCAATCTGGTGCCAAAAATATTCAGAGATTGGCAACAATGAGCAGGATCCCTTATGTTCTGTCTCTGAAAGGCGGGAATGTTAACTTGCTTTCAACCCTATCTTCATTATTTTAACCACAATTTTACACGAAGAAAAAACTAATGTTTAAACTGTACGATGTGCTATGCCAGAAAATAAGTGCATCAAGTGGGACATCGATTGCACTAGCCTAATACCACAAACAATGATATTAAGCAGGCAGATATGCTGATGCATGCTTTTGGGGTCACAGCAGTCTCGTTAAATATATATCTATATCTCTGTGAATGAAGTGTTATTACTGGTCAATCCTACTCTAGTGGGAAAGAAATCAAGGGCAAGTTCAAAGAACTGTGGGCAAAAAACACTTGTCACATGAGCAGAAGTCCTCTAATGCAGCAGGACATTCTAAACCTCTCTTCCCCCATGTAGTCTCCTCCGTGCCACCAAATCTGCTCCAGAAAGTCCTCCAACCTTCTGAGGCAGACACTGAAGGCCTGTGTGGGGCTGCACAGGAAAGAGGGCAACCCCTCCTTTGTACTTACTAAAGCAGTTCCATCAGTGGAAAAACTGAAGGAAACCAACTCTTTGGCTCCTAGCCAGAAAACAGGAAAAGAAAAGGAGAGGCTTAATGGACGAGATAACAGTAGCTTTATTTTGATGACGCTCTTGAGTCAGCAACAGCCATTTAATGGCACAACTATACTTGTTGCAATTATAGACTGAAACTTGGCATTAAAAATATGAAAAATGCTGGAAACCTTAATACTAGTGTGAATTTGACTGTGGGGAAACTGTGGTCCTGTTCATTAACAAAAATATACATGCACTAAAAAAATTTACTTAAACGTATGAATTTAAGACTTCACTTTATTCGTCAAATTGGTTTATTTACACAATTGGGAATGCTGGTTGATTTTTATCAGTGGAATAAAAGCAATTCTAGCAGAGACAATACTGAACTCCCTTGACACATCTCCAGCAACACTGACCAACGTTTTCCTTACCTGTATCAGGAACATCAAGCACAATAGTTGGATAGTATCAGAAGACACCAATATAACAAACCACTGAGGATCCAGTACACTTTTGGGAATTTACCAATACTTTTGCCGAACTTTAAAAGGTCAGCAAAACCAGCATTAATAGTTAACACCAGAGTATAACTCTGAGATCAGTGGGTCAATAAAAACCTTATCAGACCATACATAATTCATAAAATGACCTGACCTGCATCAAGCCACTTTATCATAGAATCAAAACAGATGAGAAAAGATTATTTAAGAAGACAATGATCTGATAAGGATTTAACTCAACAGAAGTTAAAATAAGAGATGCAGAGCACAGCCCCTATTAGAACAAGCTAACTTTTCAGATGTCCAAAAAGAAAAAAAAACTCACAAAAGAAAATAAAAAACCCACTTCAACATGAAGCTACTATACAAAGTTTGTTTCATTTTCGATCAGAGTTCAGAGCTGAAATTTAATCCTGACTCTTTAGTGAGAATGAGAGTTTTGGCCTAGACTTTCCCTTGCCTAGGATAATTTTTTGCTCTTCCTTTTGCTGACGTTGTCTTTCTTGTTCTAGTTTCATCCTCTCCTCATGAATTTTTCTTTGTTCTTCAACAATTTTCAATTGTTCTTCAGCCTATAACATTGAAACAGTAAAGTTTAGGTAACGCATTTTGCCATTTTCACATGGTACTTCTTGTTCCAGAGTTACTGAAGAAAGAGTCCAATGTTGTAACACACCAGGAAAATGCTACATTACTAAATTCATTAGCATCAGGTGAAAGGAAAATGGCTGCTCATGCATTTTCAAGACAAGAAAGCAAATGCATACTCTAAATATGCACTTCTATAATGTTCTGTAATTATCACCCAAAGGGAACTAAGAAACAATTTTTTAGTTCTTCTCAATTACAAATCCAAAGCATTCGCTGTTTTTAAAAGTTGAAAATCCTTTCAAAAAAATCCAGCATGCTCCAGATAGGCAGTAAAGAAACTGCAAACCGAATTAAGAAGTTTCTTTCTTTCAAATTCTCTTGTGATTATATACCTAGAGTCTAGCTTTGATGAGGTAGGTTAAGATCCCAGAAATCAGGCTTTTTAATAACAAACAAAAGACCATGTTTCACTTAAATATGCAAAAGAGCGTTTGCACACTGCTAGATTATTTCACAAAAAAGTGAAACTACATCCAAGTATGTTTTTCCATTTCCACAAAATAAAACCTGCTGTTAAAACATACTTATCATGTAACTGTGAAACTCATCCACTAGCACTTATGCAAACATTTGTGGAACCACACTAGAGCTTGTTCTAGTTTAGTTTGGTCTCAGACCCCCACCGCACAGCTACTCTGGAGGCTTCCCAGCCTCCTGGAGCCAGTTCTCAGGGGCTATAAGGAAGCTATATGGCCTACACAACTATAATGTGGCATAGCACTAAATGCTCTTAAACTGATTGATTTCAATGGGCTTAAGTTCTTAATACTCCACCAGGTTGTAGTCTACCAATCTTCTCCTCATACAAGTACAATCCTATGCATGTTTACTCAGACACAAGTCCCACTATTATCAATGCGCCTTACTCCTATGTATATGCACCCAGGACTGCAGTCTATTACTTTTACTTACCAATTTAGCTTGTGCTTCTGCGATTTTCCGATTATTCTCTTCTAGTATTCGTTCTAGCTCCTCACGCTTTGCACGCTCTTCCTCCTAAAGGGGAGGACAGGGTAAGATGTTAGAAAAGTAAAATACTCACTCACCCATCTGCACTAGTCTTCCTAGGAATTCCTTCTGTGAACTGACTTAAAGGGGCAGCTTTATAGCCACCATATTTGTCTTTCAAACAGCAAACTGTGCAGCCACTAAATTTTGTCTCTAGCTCTAAATTTAAATCATCCCTCCCAGTCCAAACAGCAACCAACTAAACCCTCCCTAATCAGAGAATCCTAGCCAGTTATTACTAGTATTTTAATATCACACAAATCAACAAGGACAACTACAAAAACTGGATAGTATTTACCAAATTAAAAGAGTAATATATAAAATATAAATAAAGTGAATAGTTTGTCTCACCAATCATGTATACCTACGTATTCTTTACCTATACTCCTTTAATCAGCATTAAAAGTTGAATATTTACTGTCTTGTCCAGTGTCCTGCAGAGTGTGCTCCTCGGCTGCCATACGCGCCAGCTTCCTCTTTAAAATGATTTGTACTGTTAGCTTGGCAATGCCTGCATCAGCAGCTCAACCATTTATAAAGAAACAACATACAAGGAAGGCTGAGCTGAGGAATGCAGATGTTTACGGTAAGAAGGAACAAAAATATGTAAAACATTCCTAAGCAAACAATTAATAAGAAAAATACATTTACTGTTAGCGTAAAGTACAAATGGTAATCCATATTCCGTGGAACTATGGGTTTCCTTCATGGGCAAATGGACTGAACATCCTATAGTGTGACAAGCTTCAAGACAGTATAAAACTGTCTTTCTACAAGTTAAACTGGAATTCAGGAATCCAGGAAACTATGGAAATCAAATCTGAAATTGAGTTTCCTTTATAAATTTATAGAAACTTTGTTATGCAAACCATAAGCAAAAAGATTGCAAGAAGTTTCAAGAGTAATTTCAGTAACCATCATTAATATTCAAGTTATTTTAATATTTGGAAGTTTTTATAATTAGCCTGAGGTCTGCACAAAAATATAGTTAATAGGAACAAAGCAAGTATGCGAAGAAAAGATTTCTTGCTATGTCTAGTAATCAGCTACAGGTTGGCACCCTTCACTCCAGGAATTCAAGATTATGCTGTGCAGTAAAAATCCTGATGATATCACTCAGTGTCTTGCTTACCAACTGCTGTATACGTATCTACTGAAGGGTGGGGTGGTGGGGGGAAGGAACCATTATTTCAGCCAAAATCAATTGTACGAAGATTTTCAATTTTGTTTTGATTTTTAAGTAATGCAGCAGTTGCTTAAAATCAAATTTTTGATTTGTTAAATTTGAACTGAATTTACAGCACATGCAATTATTTTTTTTAAAGATGCTGTATCATAAATGAAAGTCCTGAAAGGAAAATGTATCTTAATGAAGCTTCTCTCCTATCATCAACTAATCAACTAAAGCCACCTAGTCAAATTGCCATATAAGGGAAAAAAGTATGAAGTAAGTTGTCTAACTCTCAGCACTATTTTCCATAAAGTTTAAAAGAAGTACAACTTCAAAATTTTGGGATCCTGGAGTGATTAGTGCTGGCAAGCATTAAAACCTCCAGTAGCAAAGTACTGTCTCACAGAAAGACATTTTCAGCTTCTGCTCCAGCTGCTGACAGAAGAAGTCACATGTTTAGCTCAACTTCAGACAAAGACAACCTGCTCTTTTACAACTCTCTAGTCTAGAGAAAAAGAAGTAGTTGTTAGTAGTCACTGAAAAAAAAATGGATCTCATGAATCTGGCATTAGCCTTTTGTGAAGATAGTGAATGGGATCAGAGTTCCAGAATTAGTCCACTGTGTTTTCAAGAAGAATGCATGATTGCCTTAAAGGGAGAATAAGAAAATCTATTTGTTTGAGAGGTACTGCAGCTCAGAGCTGGACCCTGCTTTTAATTTTTCTCCCTGACTGAAGGCATAAAGCCTCTTACAGTCTAGGTAAAACAAAACAAATGGATACATGGTCATAAATTGTTAAACCCATTCCCCCGTAAGAAAGGACTGTGGGTATATCCTGCAGCCATGGCAAAAGTTTCAAACAATGCTCAAATATGTAGGTCAGTTCCATTAAAATTCAAGTATCCTTGCACAGGTTTTAGGAGAGTAACCATTTTAGGTATCAGTGGGCTCCTCTGAATAAGTTAGAAATTAGGTTTCGCAGCAATGCAAGTTTATACAAGAAGGGAATTAGATTTGCTGTATTCCATCTCCTTCTGAACGCAACAGGAGGCACAACCCAACACTGAAAGTTTTGCCATGGACTGTCTCTACTTTCCAAACGACCGAGCGTTACCTCTCTAGCCTTTTGTGCTGCAAGTTCAGCTTGTCGCTGTCGCTCGAGTTCTTCGAGCAACTGTTTTTCCATGATGCGCTTAGCCTCCTCCACCCTGCGGAGAACTTCCCGCTCAATCTCATCTTTTCGTTTCTCCAGTTCTTCTTCTACTCGCTTTGCTACAAGCTCCTCCACTCTTCGAGCCGTCTCTTCTTCAATAAGCTTCTCTTCTATTTCTTGTTGCCGACTACAAGGACAGAAATACTAAGTCAAGAATTTTTGCCACCTCATCTAGTCCAATTAAAGATTATACCATACTGATTCAACATGACATCATATACAAAGAACTGTACAAAAGTGTGTGTGAGCTTGTAAGTGTGCACAAAGGATACAAGTAGAAATATATAATATGGCATCAAGTATTGTGTTCTGCCATCAATGGCATGAGTCTTCAAATGCAGCAAAGGCAACCATATTGCAATATACTATTGTTTTGGATCTTAGCATTCTATGTCTACATAACCTATGAACTAACCTCAGAAATGTTTATGTGCCATGCTCAAGATGAAGCCTGTGACAAAGTACATAGGACATTGTATAATTTAAGTCTACACTGCCTTCCATACCTAATGGCAAAAAGGTTAATACATTTCATAAGCAGCAAACTGATGTGCTGTGTTACAAAAGAGAACCATCACCAACAGTACATTCTAACACTTTCAAAAATTCAAAAGAGAACTTATTTCAAGCAGTGCATATAATGCAGATAAAAGGCCAGACTTTTATTAAGGTCAATACATAAAAAGGCCTATGCTAGTGGATAACAATACAAACTTGAAGCAACAACATGAGAAGTCCGTCATCAGTCAAATATCTGCCTATTTGTTAAAATGCAATTTGCACATCATTTCTTTGAGCCAAGCAGATGCTTAAAATAGAGGTCTAATGGTAACTAGAAACAGAAACAAAGCAAGTCAGAAGGGGTCTCCCAGGCCATCTAGTCTGACCCTCTGCTCCAGCTGGCTCCGCTCAGGTAATCCCCAACATGCGGTTGTCCAATCTTTTCTTGAACACCCTCACTGAGACCAATACCCTCACTGATGGTCTCAACCACCTCTCTTGAAAGTCCAATAGAACTACAAATACAAATAGATCGGTATGATAAAATAGTTCACTGAAACGAAGTTCAATTACATATATTATAGAATTAAAACCATAAATAAAAATGTTAATTTTGAGCTTATTTACTTGTCCATACTCTTTAACAGATAGTTGTTTCATATTTTAAGTGTTTTTTCTACAGCCATGAGGGCTAGAAGCACTGGGCACAACTCCAAATTAAAGCATGGAGAGATATATGCTTATGTCCTTCCTACTAAAATACAGTATTTAAAAGTCATTCATTCTGCTGGGTAACAATCATGCCGAAATGAAATTTATTGTTTAGACTTGTACATGCATGCCACCTAGAAGTCTCTCAAACTGCCAGCTGAGTCTTACGACTAAGTTAAGTGTACAATGTGTCATGCCAGAAAAAGTTAAAGTGAGGTACAGTCTCCACCCATAAACACACGTCCTGCACTACCCCATACTTTGGCATTTGTTGTGCAGACTGGAAAGGAATTGCTTCTGGCTACATGCAAAGACTGTGTGGCTTACGTGGACTGGATTTTGTTATTCTGTACACTGCATTCATGATACAACTTCATGGGGCTTGCCTGCCTACCCCTAACCTTAAGTCATGGGCAATTCTTCAGAATGTGCTGCCCAAAGATTTGTAATACTAACGTATGAAAAACATGTATGTGAAAACAATGCAAATCATTACATCCTTCTAAATAAGAGAAACTCACATATAAAGGTATAAGACATTGCCTTATGTTTGAAGATCCTACTATGGGTTTTCTCGATGGGATGGGAAGAGGGTGGCGTGGAAGTGAGAAATTAGATCTTAACTCCTTTGTCATGGTCAGCCTCAGGGCTGATCTCTGCCTCCAGAAGGGTGCGGGCCCTACTAAGATGGTCCACTCCCAGAGCCGGATGGATGTAGATGGATTCCTGAGGGCTCTGGGGGATTTTCCGGCCAATAAAACTGGCGCTCCTGTTAAGGTCCTGGTCAATTTGTGGAATAAGGGGATGAGCAGGGCAATTGACACAATCACTCCTAAGTGTCCTCTCCCACCTGGCAGAGCCCACTTGGCACCACGGTATACGCCTGAGTTGCGGGCAATGATTAGAGCACAGGTGGAGAAAAATCTCGGGACAAATCTGACCGAACACACTTACGTGCTCATTATCGAGCCTATGCTGTGGTGGTGAGGGCGGCGAAGAAGCAGTCTGGTCAGGAAAATGATGTGGTTGCACCTTCAGCAGCCCGTTGTGATGACTTTGCCCAGCACTTTAAGGAAAAAAATCACTTCAGATTCACCATGATCTGGACTCTACAGTTGATATGACTCCAGAACGGGAGGTGTCCACAGCCCCGTCTGGTCCATCATTTTTGGATGAGTTTCAGTTATTGCGGCCTGATGATGTGGACAAGGTGCTTGGAATAGTATGTCCTACCACCTATCTTCTTGCCCCTCGCCCCTCCTGACTACTTAAAGAAGTCAGTCACCGGACTGGTGCCTGGGTCTGGGAGGTTAACAACGCCTTGCTGAGAGAGGGCCAGGTACCTGCCCCCTTGAAGGAGGCAGTGATACAGCCTATCCTGAAGAAGGCATCTCTGGACCCAGAGCTGGCCGCCAATTTTAGACTGGTGGCCAACATCCCATTTTTGGGCAAGGTGTTAGAGCGGGTGGTGATGGGACAACTCCAAGCACTCTTGGATGAAACAGATTATCTGGACCCATTTCAGTCTGGCTTCAGACCCAGTTATGGTACTGAATCTACCTTGGCTGCTCTGTATGATGACCTGTGCAGGGAGAGGGACAGGGGGAGTGCATCCCTGTTGCTTCTCCTGGACCTCTCAGTGGCTTTCGATACTATCAACCATAGTATCCTTCTGGATAGGCTGGCCAGGTTAGGCTCTGCATGGTAGTGGTTCCGCTACCTGGGCAGACGATTCCAGAAGGTGGTGCTGAGGAACTATAGCTCTGTGCCATGGCAGCTTTGCCATGGGGTTCAGCAGAGCTCTATTTTGTCCCCCATGCTCTTCAACATCTACATGAAACTGCTGGGAGAGGTCATCAGGAGGTCTGCGCTGCGGAATAATCAGTGTGCTGAAGGCACCCAGCTCTACCTCTCTTTTACATCTACTTCAGTTGGGGTAGTGGATATACTGAACCGGTGCCTGGCTGAGGTAATGAGCTGGATGAGGGCCAATAAACTGAGCCTCAGTCCAGATAAGACGGAAGTCCTGTTGGTGTGCGGATCAAGGTTTCAGGTAAGTGATTTTGACCTTGTCCTGGATGGGGTAGCACTCCCTCTAAAGGACAGAGTCCGCAGCTTGGAAGTACTCCTCGGCCTGGAGCTGTCGCTGGAAATCAGGTGGCAGCAGTGGCAAGAAGTGCTTTCCTACAGCTTCGGCTGGTCCATCAGCTGTGTCCTTAACTGGACAAACACTGCCTAGCAATGGTGATTCATGCTCTGGTAACCTCCCAGTTGGATTACTGTAACGCACTCTACATGGGGCTGCCCTTGAAAATGCTCCGGATACTTTAGCTGGTACAGAATAGAGCAGCCAGGTTGCTAACGGGAACTGGTCGTTATTCTCATATAGTAGGTCCTCTATCAGCTTTCCAGCTGAAGTCCCGGCCCAATTCAAGGTGCTGGTTTTGGCCTATAAAGCCTTGAATGGCTTGGGACTGGGATACCTAAAGGAACATCTCCTTCCTTATATGCCCTCACGCCCCTTAAGATCTGCGGGAGAGGCCCTGCTCCAAGAACCCTCCCTGAAGGAGGTAAAAAGGATATCTACTCAGAGGAGGGCCTTCTCTGTGGTGGCACCCAGGTTATGGAATGAACTCCGTGGGGAGCTGTGCCTGTCGCTAAGTTTATATTCTCTTTGGTGCCAGGTTTAAAACCTTTTTATTTAACTGTTATTTTAAAAACTAATTTACATTTTAATGTTTAACAGTTGCTTTTATTTAACTTATTTAATTGTATTTTTTGGTTAATTGTTAGTAATTGTTGTTGTTTTAATGACTGTAAGCCATCCAGAGATGCCATGAATAAGGGACAGCATACAAAAGTTTTAAATAAATAAATAGTAGCTTCTGAAGGTCTCTTCCCTAGCTTAGTGCCAAGTAACCTTTTAAAAGCACTGTTTGGCAGGGTTTGGATGCAAACCACGTTCTATACTGCTGATTTAGAATCCATTTGGGCATTTAGTCATTCCCTTTACTGTAATTTAAAAAAAAGTTAAGCCAGTTTTAGCCTATGCATTGCATAAACCAGGTGTGCCACCATTTTTACAATACACTTGACTGAGCTCACATGACACAGTAAGCCACAGTGGCATCACATGTTTCTGAACCCAATATGCTTCCTGAGTCTTATAAGCCAGCCCAGCCCACAACAGCTTCTTGCAGGGTTTGTCTGATCCTCTGCGGCATTGCATACTGTCCAAATCCAGACAAAGCCACCAGTCAGTCACAGAGCCCCTTTGCAAAAATGACAGAAGGGTTTGACAACCTAGCCAAGTGGTTATTAGGGGGCAGGCGGTGCAACCCATCCAAAGCACCACTGGGAAAGCCGGCAAAGGCATCCCCGCACCCACCACAACTGCCATAAACAGTTTCAAGTTCACCACAATTTGACTTTATGATGATGATGAAATTAAAACTATAATCTGAGATCATGAAAGCAGGCTGTCAAGCTCTCTTTCACAATTCGAATGGGAACATCAGTGGGGTACACCTCCTCATGGAGGGGCTACCCATGGTCCCCCCCCCTTTTATAAAATACCCGTATTATGTGTGCAAAGAGGTGTATTCATAATAATTTTCCCCTAAAATCTTCCATTGCATTATCTGAGCATTTGGGGTTCAAACCAAGGGGCATGGGGTAGATACTGGTGAGGGAGTTGCCTGCAAATCATATCTAACACCTACCCACCCTCTACGATGCTTAGAAATTTTCACCCTTAAAGCTGTTAGCATATGGGAAATTTGCAAAACTAGAAGAGAATCATAGCAACAAGAAGTGGGTCTTCCTTTAAAATGTGTCAAATGTACTAGGATTCCACGCCCCCCCACAGCAGTTTTCTGGGTAAGTGGCAAAATGGAGCAGATGCTTGCGACTTGTTAGTACTCTCCTCCCCCTGGGATCCTACTTGGAAGAGAATTGAGATCATATTGCACAAAACACTAATTTAGGCAGGATCTTTGTTTTTGGAGCATTGGGCCCTCAGTTAATCACACTTGGAAAAGTGGGAGCAACTCAGGGCCATGTAAGCACTCTTCCAAAACAAAACAAAACAAAACACAAAAAACCCTCAACAACCTTAAAGAGTCTACTTTTAAGGGTGCTTCTCACAACCTCATTTCATCCCCCCCCCCAAATGTTTTTTGCAACTACAACTGCACCTTGGGATGTTTACTTTGTGTCTCCCAGCAAGTGTACAGCATTATGCTGGGGGGGAGGGGCAGCAATTTCACAGGAAGCCCCACCTCCACTCACTTTGACTTACTCCAGTTTTGCAGGATCCCTCTGTGCTATTAGGAAAGGGGCTGCAAAATTGGAGGACAATTAGGGAAATGTATGTCCTCAGCTTGCACAAAACCATGAGATCATGCTGCAGAAAGGGTAGAAAGATCCTCTTTCTGCAAATACAATCTAGTTTAGCAAGAAGTCTTGCAGACCAGATCTGTCAAAATTGAGAGAGCCTGGTAAAGTGTAGGGAATGGGAAATACTTACCTGCAGCCTGGGCTACAGAGGGTAGGTGACTGCTGGATTTGGCCTGCAGGCAACTCTTTCTCAACAGTACACATCCCAGGCTCCCCATTTTTAACCCCAAATTCCACGTTTGCATAAATGATATATTTTTCAAGGAAAATGTTATGAGTACACCTAAAAATAATGCAGGTATTTTTTTTTTAAAAGGGCCCCCTCTAAAGATAATGTGGGGCGGGGGGGAAGGTCTCGGAGCAGCACTTTGTGTGTCCCAGCTGGGATTGTAGAAGAAGGCTGAAAAGCCTGCCTTCGTGATCTTTAAAAAAAAACAACAAAAAACCCTATAAAGGCTTGACTAAAAAATCAAGCTGCAACAAGCCCAAAATAGTTCGTGGCAGAAGTGGGGGAAACCTGCAGAACAAACTGTAGAGGAAACAGGGTAAAAGGTAACTCAGGAACCATGATGTGTCAGCTCATTTGTTGCACATATCACACAGTCCCTGTGGTAGACAAGCCACAATGTGTGGCATGTTCTACAGTGCAGCTTGTTGTGTGAAGACAAATGTCTAAATGCTAATTGCTCTTCAGTACTAGCTATGGATTCTTGGATAATCAGAAGTACTTAGTGGCTACAGATCACTTTATGCACCTTTAAATTCTACATTGCAATTTGAGTTATGTATCAAATGTTTACTTTTCATTAAGAAATGATACTTGCTTTCAGTGAGCACTCTATATAAGGTTATAACAATATACTTCACAAGTCTTATGTGGGCTTTCTGACACACTCAGAAGCTTGTGCATATAGAGCCCAGGAAAATGAAACTGAACAACCAGAGCTAGAAATCTAGAGATTTAAAAGACAATAGTAAAATCGCAAGACAATGTGGCAAAGCAGCTTTAATTTATACTTGGAAAGACTACTGTCTCTCCAGGCTGAAAGATCATAATAGTTTAATTACAACAACTCAAAGTCAGTTCAGAGATTGCTTGTGTGGCTTTTTCATGGAAATGACTTATGAAAGAAGAGTCTATATTATTTCTGAATAATATATTCACAGAACACAATGCGTAGGTGTGCAGGGGAATGAAGAAATTCTAATTTACAGAAATTGTGATGCACCTTTCATGAACAATGTTATTAACAAGTTAGACCATTCACATGCAGGATTTTAACAGTGTTCATCTACCAGCAGAATGGAAATTGCTGACAGATCAAATTACCCCTCCCTCTGCAGACCCACTCACTTCCACCTAAGGTTTATGGGACCCTGCAGTACAGGGTCATAAGATGGGAAGGAGGGAAAGGTAATCCCATAAGTCCACACGCATAAGCTTAGATTTATCCCACAGTTATATGCATGCATAAACTCCTGGATACTGTTACTCTCACGTAACGCAGGCCCTCTACCAGCTTCGGTGGCTTCCAATTGAAGTCTGGGCCCAATTCAAGATACTGGTTTTGACCTATAAAGCCCTAAATGGCTTGGGACCAGGATACCTGAAGGAACGTCTCCTTCCTTATATGCCCTCACGTCCCATAAGATCTATGGGAGAAGCCCTGCTCCGGGAACTCTCCCTAAGAGAGGTAAAAAGGTCATCAACTCAGGAGTAGGGCCTTCTCTGCTGTGGCACCCAGACTCTGGAATGTATCCCCCAGAGAGGTATGCCTGGGCACCAAGTTTATACTCTTTTCGGCACCAGGCTAAAACCCTTTTATTTAAACAGTATTTTAAAATGACCTTCAGTCGTTCTGTTTGTTTTGTGATTGTTCTGTTCTATTATTTATTGAAATTGTTGTTTTATTTGTTCTTTTAAATATTGTAAGCCATCCTAAGATCTTGTATAATAGGATGGCATACAAAAGTGTTTAATAAATAAATAAATAGGCTATAGTTTTGAGGAACTATAAAATGCAATTATTTCACATTGCTTATGAAAGTAGTATTGATGTAACAGGAAAAAGATCCTGACTGAACTTAGAAAATAAAAGAAAACCCATGCTGGATCAGACTAAACATCTTTCCGGTTGAGCATTCTGTTCATTAAATAGCCAAATGGTTGCCTGTGAGAGGCCCACAAGTAGATTATGAGTGCAAGAGCACCCTCTTGCTCCCAACAACTGATATACAAAGCCATACCATCTCTGATATTAGAGGTAGTATAGCCCTATCTTCCATTAATTTGTCTAATATTATTTAAAGCCATGCAAGTTGACAGCATTGTGTGAAGTATGTACACTGTTAACCATATGATTTTTTTTTATTTTTCCCAGTCCACAAAGTGTATCAGTGAGAACTCTTAACTAAATTTAGTAATTTGTGTTGCTTATCTGCATGTGTGGCATTTGACAGTTTTAATGACAGTGACCTATAACAACAGGAACAATTTTGCTTGCTCGCATCTCCATCTCTGGAAACAACATGCCTCACATTGAAGCTTTTATCAACATACTCTTCATCAAGCCCCTGTACACAGCACCATACTTGCTTCTGCTAAGGAAAGCTTGGCTCATCAGGAGAGGAATGTATCACTAAATACTTCAACATGAGGTACAGACAGATTCCTTTAGAGTTAATGCTCTAGTAGCAGTATAATGAAAGCAAAGACAAGCAGTGGCCAAATGCCAAGGTGGAAAAGCAAGGCCTCCAATAGGAGCTGTTTTTTGTCCAGTGCAAAGAGCAAGTGTGATATCCACCTTTTCATTTCCATATCAGTACCTAACATGCTATTATCACTCTATGAATAATCACTGTACTTTTACAACATTCAATACTGCAAACCCTATTATAAATTAAAAACAGTATGAAATACTGTAAAATACTGTCTAATTACAAAAGAGCAAGAAATTATTCCAGGAAAGCATCAATTTAGTACAACTGTGTAACATTTTCATCAAGTGGATCTAGCCTAGTTCTCTCCATCCCCACCCAAATGTCAACCTACAACAGCCCTAAGCTACGGGTAGTGATTAGCTCTGCTTATTACAGGCATTAGATAAACCAAATATCCAATCAGAGTGCTGAATGCTCTGTAGAGAAAGTAAGTGCTCAGCTGGGCATTTCAATTATAAAAGGTGAAATAACTGAGGGGAAAATAAAAAAGACTGGGCTGAGGCTGGCTGGTGGCTGCACAGGAATGACAAGTCAGTTGTAAGTTATAAAAAAGGCCTTACCTATAAAAGATGAATGAAGAGGTGGCAATCACGAAAAAGTGCTGGTTGTATTAAGCTGTTGTGGGAGAGGATGGGCATTTGTATCTAAGACAGGTGGCCAGACGGAAGCAGCATTGTCTCACGTGTTACATGGGACCATGGTCTATTCCCAGTAAATATGTACAACTACCTTTCATCATTGAGTGACCATTTCAGTCTCACTTTTGCATAATCTCTCATTTTTAAATCAGAAACGTCCTACAGCGTCCTTGCTCGTCCCTATAGCCGCTTCCCTCGCCCGCGCGCGCACGCCACCAATCTATTTCTTTAAGAGCTTCTTTCCGGTTTCATCCGTAACCCTCTCCAGATATTAAACCAAAAAAGCCCCAAAGCCCACTGCTACCGCTACCTCTCCAGGCTTCATCCAGAGCTTCCCCAAGAAGACCTGTCTTCGCAATCTTCCCCCACCCCAGATCTCTTTTCGTCCCCGCGCCCGGGCTCACATTTTTCGCTGCCGCTCGAACTCGGCTTTCTTCTCCTCCTCCTCCCGCTTCTGTTTTTCATCGAGGCTGCTGCGCTTGCTAACGGTGCGGCCGAAGATGTCGATGCGGTCCGGCGGGGAGGAGGCGCGTTCTCGGTCCCTGTCACGTTCCCGCTCCCTGTCGCGGCGGGACGGGGCGGTGTTGGAGCGGGACCTGGAGCGGGACTCCCGCCGCCGGCTTCGCTTGCCTTCCCGGGACTTGGAGCGCTTGCGCGCCCGCTCCTTCTCCCGAGAACGGGACCGCGAGCGGCTCCGGTTCTTCTTGTTGTGCTTGGAGCTCTTGACGCGCTTGGAGTGGGACGAACTCCGCGACCGGGAGCGGCCCATCCCGAGCGCCTCACCTGGCTCCGCGAACGCCGGCCTAGCGGTCCTCAGCACAGGCCTGAAGGCACCCCCGACATCCACGCCGCTCGGCCCCGCGCACCAGGACAACCTCGCAGGCTAGTCCACCAAAGCAGGCCCGAGGCCCAGAGGCAGCTAGACAAGATGGCGGCTATCCGACTCCGAGACGGGAATTCTCGTCCTTCCTCCCGCCCCACAATGCACCGCGCACGCCCACAATGCACCTCGACGTCGCGCCTTGGAAAGGGAAAGCGCCGCAGTCTTGCACGGAAATATCCGAAGTAGCTCGAGTGGTCTTTTCCTCAGGTACCCGAAGAACGGCAAGGGCCCTTCGCGGAAAAAGCCGAATGGGTCCGAGCCGAACGGTATATTACGGAAACGCCCGAGCGCGCGAAAGAAGTGGAAACAGGAAGCTCAGGTTCGGGGGAAAAAAACTGGGGAGAGAATGCATAGATAGAGCGGAGCTGAGAAATGGTGACAGGTCCTTCTTTGTACGAGCCCCAGTATCACTTGTGGGGCGTGGAATTTCTGCCTATAATGTTGTTCGTTCCACGACTGTGTAAGCAGTTCTACTTAAATTGATAAATTTATAGATTTCATTTCTAAACATGTCTAGTCTTCATTGATACATCATACTCAGGCTTGCATGTATGATGCAAAACTTGCTGAGGTGTTTTTTTGTTTTTTGTTTTGTTCCAAAGCAAAACGCCCGTCTGTGTTAATAGTGATGTCAAAGATATTTTAGGTTAGGGCACTTACTATTGTAGTAGCGATGTGAATGAATACTAATCTCTATAAAAACTTTGGTTGTGCCAATTTGCTGGCATAACAAAGTGGAACACCTGAAGTAAAAACAGCTGGTAGGTTTTGAAACTTGGATTTCATTTCATTAAAATGACCTCTTTAGTACTCCATGGCTAAGTTGTTGTATTGTCCTGGAATCCTTTCAAATATTTTAAGTGGCAGGTTAGCATAACAGCTGGATTTTATATTTTTTAAATTTAGAAGTTCTTTTCCCCTCCAAAAACCCCTTTTGATCCAATGAACTTTTCAAAAAGCAGTAAACAACATTGGAGAAATTTGAAGTCATAGAATTGTATAGTTGGAAAGGGCCAAGAAGGCCTTCAGGTCCAATATTATCAAACAGTTTGGCTCAGAGACCCTAAAGAGAGAAGATGAGATGTCCATACCTTAAAATGAGGCTTCGGTGAGGGTGAATTGAACCTAATCTTGAATGGGGTTGCAGTCCCTCTTAGGGACAAGGTCCACAGCCTGGGAGTGCTCCTCGACCCAGAGCTTTCACTGGAAGCTCAGGTGACAGCGGTGGCGAGGAGCGCTTTCCTTCAGCTTCGGCTGATTCATCAGCTGCGCCCCTACCTGGAGTACGACTGCCTGGCGACAGTGACACACTCGTTGGTGACTTCCCGACTTGCCTTCTGTAATGCGCTCTACGTGGGGCTGCCCTTGAAGACAGTCCGGATACTTCAATTGGTTCAAAATAGAGCTGCCAGGCTGCTGACGGGGACTGGGCGTTATGTTCACATGACTCCAGTCCTCCGTCAGCTTCACTGGCTTCCCATTGAAGTCCGGGCCCAATTCAAGGTGTTGGTGATGATCTATAAAGCCCTAAATGGCTTGGGTCCTGGTTACCTGAAGGAGCGCTTACGTCCATATATGCGGCAGAGGCCCTTCTCCGGGAACCCTCCGGGAAGGAAATGAGGAGGGTGAGTACTCGGAGGAGGGCTTTCTCTGCGGTGGCGCCCAATCTATGGAATGTGCTCCCCAGAGAGGTCCGCTTGGCGCCGTCATTTGTTTTTCGGTGCCAGGCAAAGACCTTTTTATTCAAACGTCATTTTAACTGTTAATAGTGTTTATTTATTTTATTCTTTGGCCAGGGCGACTTATACAGTTAATTTATTTTATACTGTTAATTTATATTATTTTAATTGAAGTTATTTATGTTGTGAGCCACCCTAAGGCTTCAGCGAATGGGGCGGCATAGAAATTTTCTAAATAAGTAAATAATAATAAATAAAATGTATTACTTCAGATCAACAAGTCATGATGGACTTAAGTTAACTCTCAGAACAGAAGCAGCTTATGAGTCAGTCCTAATTTTATGAAATAGGAGGAGGGTCCTGCTTTACTACTGTCCTGTTGATGGGATTTCCATGGGCATCTGGATGGGAATGCTCGACTAGATGGCATTTTGGCCTGATTCAGCAGGCCAGAAAAACTGTGGCTGTCTAATACTGAAAATCTACCAATCCATATTTAAAGCTCAATTCTAACCATGTTTTTGACTTACAAGCTGAATTAACAGGAAATAAATCTCTGTCACATAGTGAATAGTATCTTACATATGACTAGGTGACATCTGTGAGGGTGCAATCCTATGCAAATTTAGACAGACTAAAGGTCTACAGCTCCCAACATGCTTCAGCCAGTATAATATGCTGTGAGGTATAAAATTGTACCTTTAATTTATAGAAACCCAGCTGAATATAACAAGACTTACTGATAAAGTGTTATCAGTTAAAACATGCACACTCTTTTGTGTCATACTGTCTGGTTGCAGTAAAGGTATTTCCCAATTGTGAATGTTTGATCTGTTAAATGTGTTCCTTTTCTTTCTCTCTTTAAAATCATTTCTAGTTCCACAAAAGGTACTTAGGTCATGTTCTATTTTCTTGTAACTGCACTGGGTTTAGCAGAATGTATATGTGGATTGGCCTCTTCACAAACAAGAGATGCCTAACATCTGTGAGATCAGGAGAGCATCTGGGTAAAAATGTTGGCAGACATTCAGAGCAGGTGGTGATGTGGGAAGCAACTGTTTTATCTTTTAGAATGGGTTGGAAAAATACTCATGAGGCATTAAACTACCAAAACACTCAAACACTTTTGAAAAGGAGGAACTACTGCATTAAAAGGTCAGAGGAAAAGTCACTGCAATAACAACTTTGGGCATTGTGAATTACGCATATTTGCGATAAGGTGAATATGCAACCTGCCACACTGGCAAATGTCAATACTAGCTGTTCTGCTAACGAGGGGAAGTGGAAGGGAAGAGAAAGAATATTGAGAAGTGAAACTGAAATGTGTGAAATGTGAAGTTAATTTTTGTGAACTGCCCAGAGAGATCTGGCTATTGGACAAAATAGAAATGAAATGAATGAAATGTTAAAAAATCACATATTTTGGATGTAAATGCCACTGTCATAGGCAAGATTTGCATGTCATAACAATGCAGCCTGTGAGTAAGCTACAGGCAATCTGGATTTCCGCCTGCTTCTTCCTCCTTGGCCCTCCTGGGAGTATCCCAGGGGATGCCTTGGCACAACTGACCTTGTCTCCTCTTTCATCAAAATGGCCGTGACACTGATTGTGCCCCTGTGGCTTTCCCCCTTTTTTTAGAATTCTGATTTGATAGGAACACATCCTTTTTCGGAGTGCCCAGGCAGCGCACTGAAGGGGCTGTCACTGGTTTGCCAGCCCTTTAAGCAACATCACTTTGCTTTCTCTAGGCAGCTGTTAAAAGGTGAGCTGTCACAAGGAAGCAAAGCTGTGAGTGATTTGAAATGGGGTGGCCAGTAGATTACCCTTTTTGTACCAAGTTCTGGTGGAGGGGCGTGGTAATTCAACCTTATTATGGATGATGCTGTTGTTTTTCCTCTTTCCATTGAGAGAAAGCCCATGCAGTACAGCTATATATAAAACCAGCCTTCCCAAAGTAATCCTGCCATCCTGAACTTTTGGGCTGCTGCTCCCAGATTTCTGACCACTGAATAGAGCTGTTGGGAAGTAAAGTCCAAAATATCTGGATGTTTTAAAACAGACAGTGGGTATACTGTATGTATCTTGTTGTCTATTCCTTTTGTATGGTGTTTATTTCCTGTACAATTGTGTATATGAGACAGAAAATGAAAGATCTTCACATTTGATCTCATGGTGAACAAATACATCTCAAAGGTGGTTGTTAGGGGGAATGCTCTCTAGATTATTATGTCTGCCTCTTGTGTCAGCCACTCCATACCAGGAGAGGCTCTTTGTTTTCTATTTCTTTCTTTCTTACCTTGTGCAGCTACTTAAAAGCCAAGCTCCACACAGGCTGTACAGGGATAAATAGATGAAACAATTTTTTAAATGAAAAGAGCATTCTGGACTTTCTCAAGTATGAACAACAGATGCTATGCAATAGCTATGAACAAGAGTACTCCTTTAATCTTTTGTTGGATCATTGGAATGAAAGATAAGCATCAATATCTTTCAGTATCAATGTGTATTTTGGTATATAATTGATTTTGTGAGGGCTTTGGTATATAATTGCTTTTGTAAAGACTTTCTGTATAAAGTATAAGCAACGGTTTATGAAAGGGCATTAAGGGACTAGATAGGATATAACTAACTTCATAAATGTTTGTTTAATAGCCTTAAAAGTGATAGATAGACCTAGTTTGAATGACATGACCGAGAGTTAATTTCTCCTTGAGAAGCTGTGATGCTTGCCAGTCGCCTTAGGAATATGCAACCCTTTACCAGAGGCTGCCATGCCTTGTGAACTTGGCTGGTGAAGCTATCTGAGAGATGAACGATCCTTGCTAACCCATGGTCTGTTGGTACAGTTAAGCAAGCTTGTTTAACCCTCCGTTATTCACCACTAGCCAAGTTCACATCTCGCTAGCAACAACAATAAAAGAGTCACTCCTTGGTCTAGGACTGTATATTCGTAACGGTTGCTTATGTGTTGCAGCTCTTCAAGGGCAAAATAACTCATAGTCTGCTCAACTGTCATGCATACTTGGCCCATACTATCATGCTGATGTCTTTTCATGGGATGTGGGAAGCACTTGACTAATACATTAAAATAACTGTGTGCAGAAAAGAGCTTGTGTCTATGGCCATTTTGTCTTTCTACCAGTGTTTCAAACACAGTGTTAAAAATTCTGCTAGCTCTTACATCACAGGGTAACCTACCTCACAGGGTTATAAGCAATGATAAAATGGGGGTGGAAGTGGATTATGGAAGCCACCTTGGGTTTTTGCAGGGGAAAAGACAGGGTATAAATATAACAAATAAATGTGGCAGAGGTTATATTATGGACCAGATTATCCCAGTCCTTTGCAGAGGAAACACTTGTATCTAGACCCTAAACTGAATCTGTACT